TACTTGAATAGTATCGGGATATTTTACAAAAATAGTCGAATTTACAATTAAATAGTACCCCGATACTAATTAAAGGGGGTATTTTTTCAGGGGGGTACTGTATGCAGCGCTGTACGGTAGATGTTTTTTATACTAACTAAATTAATTGGTTCTCATAACCCGGCCGGGTCAAATTCATCAAAAAACTTTTGATTATATTTATTATACGGTATATAAGTTTTTGAAAAGCCGAGTTGCAAAGTCATTTTTTTTATGTTATGAGAACCAAAAAATTGACTTTATATGAAATCCGACGGGTCACACACTAATTATGTGAAAAGATTTTTATCAAATTTATTTGGTAGTTGTTGAGATATATTGATTTAAATCTTTAAAAAAAGGTACTAAAAATGATTTGTTCCATTTTTATTGATTTCCTCTATATACATTACTTATGTTAGTAGAAATGACATTACAAGCTCGACTGTGGCAACTTTTAATTTTCATATATATAAATTTAATTAAGATGAATAAATCATATTTAAGATTTCAAATCAGTCTTTTCCTACGACTTGGAACACTTCAACTTCATTAATTATAATATCACCATTTATAGCTCTAATCTGATTTTCATAACATGCACCGTTGCCATTATAATACCATGTGCTACCGTTATTTGTCATAAAGAAATCATAGCCAAATATTGGACCATTTCTGACAAAACATCCAATTGCACTATCTTTACTGATTGCTCTGCTAATAATAGTGGTTGGTTTTAATGAAAAAATAAAACTATTATCTGTTCTTGACCATTTAATTGTCTTATCAGATGACCAGACCAATGGATTATATCCACCAAGTATTTCATTTGTCTTAACAATCTTTATAACGACCACAGTGCCGAATAAATTATCACACAAACTATGAAACGATGCACATGAAAATCCATCTCTACTTCCTCTATAGAGTAATCTAAATCTGTAAGGTATTTCTGAAATATTATATGTCGAATGATGTTTATCAATCCAAGATGAAATCTTTGCAATATGTTCATCTTTAATAATGTTAGATAATGGATCGTTGGAAGAGATCTTTCGCAGGCAGGACAATAAAATAGTTGAAGAGATAGTTAGATTTGTTAAGTCATAGTCCTTGTTTGTACAACTAAAAATTTTAGCTTACCGGTTTATGATAAGTAATCTGAGGTCCAATTTTTACCGGTTTATGATTAGGTTTATGATTAGTATTAGTAATCTGAGTTCCAATTTTATTTATCAATTTTGGAAAATAAATATTTGCATAAGATTGTAAATAAAACTTAAAAGGAATATAAAAAATAAAAAAATTAGATCGGAATGTTATTTTGATAAATAGATCACTCTGGCTATACCGACATCTAGATAAATGCCTGTATAACTCACTGTATTGGCATTTTGAAATTTTTTACTAAAGAAAAAAAAATTGTCGATATATCCAGAGTAACATGTAATATAAATAAAACAAAAAAATCTTACCACAAAATCGGCATTATGCGGTGAAATGAAATTATGAGCCAATTCATGGCAAAATGTAAAGAACCAATATACAATATTTTTATTAAAAGGACGTCCATATTCTATGTCAGATTTTAAGTTGAAAAACAAGGTTTTGTTACGATTAAAAGCGACCATTGTTGAATCATCATCATAAAATATGTTAATTTTGTTTTTTGGAAGTTCAAAAATTTTAGCAACATCAACAAGAACATTAATGAATTTTTTTATATTTCCTTCCATAGTAACAGTGGGAAATAAAAGAATAGACGGATCCAATGTATCTTTAATATGAAGTTCAATAGACTCTATAGTTGTAACATAACTTAAAGGTGAATCTATTTCGAAAACAATAAAGTAAATTTATTAAAATAAAATAAAAACAATTCATCACTATATTAAATAATAAAAACGTTCAAGTTACCATAATATTCTTCTTCAGTAACAAAAGTTTCCACAGGATTATTGTTTGCTGGGATGGATCGATTATAATTTGATTTGCAAGATGTAATCCCCTCAAGTAACATCTTTTCGAATTCAGCACTAGATAATTGTTTTATTGGTTTTGGTGAATTTGGTATTTCATCAATTTTTACATTTTTAATATTCACATTTATATTTTCAGTAGGATAACCAAGTTGCTGAAGTTGTTCTATTGAAGAGGTTAAATAAAGGTACAAATTTGTACAATGTTGTCTTTCAGGACGACGATGAATACGTTGGACTAATGCATTTGCAATATCCGTGTAATTTTCATTAGTAATATAGAGAATCAAACTGTTTCCACTCTCCGAAATACAAGCAGAAATTTTATTTGTCTTTGTTTCATGCTTAGGAATAAGCACATAATTCATTTTAATTTGATCAGTATGCTTGACTTGTAATTTTTCTATCCATGATATATCGGTCTTTAAATCTCCACCTTTAATACCAGAATAATACCAAGGTACTCGTTCCAAAATTTTCTCATTTACTTTATGAGAAATACCTGAAGTTATTTCTTTAGCAATATGTTGAGGTTTTGTACTGACGTTAGCATCAAGAGATTGACTTCCCAATATCTTGACAAGAATATATATATGTATAAATTAACAATTTTTATAAGACTGTTACATAAAAATTAATTCATTACATACTTGATAAAATTTTTCTATACGATCTGTAAATGGACAAATTAATGGATTAAATAAACTTCGATATTTATCATTATCATTTATAAAAATATCTTCAGCACAGGCCAATTCATAAACATCTGTCGTTGTTCCAGAAATATTTAATTCTTTCTTTATGCCTAACAAGATTGGACATTGTTTCATTGTATCAAGTATTCCAGGTTTTGTTTTATTTAAATATTCATAGTTGTGTGCAATAGTTCCTAAGAAGTTAGTATATGAATCCTTATTACTAAGCTTTGACCAGAATTCCCTAGAAGATTTAATAAGGTATTCTGCTATTTCTAATGTAGATGGCTCTTGTTTTACACCACAATCTTTTAAAAACTTGTTTGCAATTTCTCCAAAATCAACACATTTAAATATATCTACATAACTTATTAAATAAAATTCGTATCAAGTTTAAAAATCAATATCAAAATAAATTACATATGAAAATATTTACGTACTCTTCATTAAATACTTTGAAAAAACATTCTTCCGGCTTGTGATAAATAATTTTATATGGTGAAACCTTTTCTTGGATAGGTATGAATTTGATATTCTGAAGTACTTTCCAATTTGAACCACTTTCACGCATTGCAAAGTACATGAATTCGAAAATTTCTTTTGCATTGTCCATATTTGGAAGATTTTGTATCAATTTATCCCGCATCAATTTGTGATCAGGATAATTTTTAACACCAATTTCTTTAGCAAAAAAGCATAAATCTTGGCGTAAAGTATTAAATCCCATCTTTGTACAATGAGGATTCGAATAACACTCTGATGGTTTCGTATAAATATTATTAATACATGGTAAAAATTTTATCTGAACCAAATTTGAATTATATATTTTGGAATAATTTTCCTTGAAATTTTTGATAAAATATTGAAGTGCTTTCTCACGAAGTTCAAGAGGTTTAGATTGTTCTGCAAGTTGAAGGATAGTTTGAATAGATGGATATTCTTGCAACCCAAGACTAATGATAAATTTAGCTGAAATATATGATTTATTTGGTTAATAATAAAAAAATAATAAATTAATTTAAAAATAATTTATAAAGTTATTGTAGATTATTGTAGATTATTGTAGTTTATTGTTTTATTGAAAATTTTCCATTCATACCTTCATTTGAATATTTGTTCCAATGCCCTTTCCAATTTATTATTGGCAATTCAAGCTCTTTATTATGAAAGCACGGGATATACAAATTTTTTGCCAAATCTCTCCGAACCTCATCATTATTCTCAGATTTATTACTATCAGTATACTCCTTTATCCAAATTTTGGCCCTTTTTAATTTTTCAATATCAATATCTTTAAGATCTTCAGCAAACTTAGTAAAATATTTCAAAAGTTTCATGTGATCCAAATTTTCACTGTTAACTAATCGAGCGAAAACAACTTCGAGTTCAACATACTACCGTATGTAAATTTTAAATTTATAAGCATGTAATGGATGAGTTTATTTTATTACATTATATTTCTTACCTTATTTATTCCGATCTCGGTGAAAAATTTTTCATTCCCTTTTATGCTAATATTGGGCAAATCTGAAAATAATGTTACATTAGGAAAATATGTTTTGGCAGGTTTTTTCACACCAAATTGAGTCGGAATACATTCAATTTTAGATAGTAATTGACATATGGCGAACTGATCTTCCTTTTTTGTATTTTTGAAGCCAAGTGAAAGTGTACTTATAAATTTCTCGGCAAAAGCTGGATTATTTTTGAATATATATTTTTCAACAATATATCGTGCCCATGTAACTAATGAAAGCTCTGTCCAATTTCTAAATAAAATGAATAGAATAGTTATCTCGAGAGATTGAAATAAAATAGAAAGAAAAAATTGAATGACATACCTAAAATATTGTTTAAATATATCTAGCTTATTATTAAAATGTTGACTAATAGCATATGGCAGTACATTGGATGGAACATCTAACCCTGGACTAATAATACCAGGATTCCGGAAATGACGAATACTTTTTAAATGTAAAACCTTATTTTCAATATTAACAGTAGCCAATTGCATGAGGTCGTTATGAACTGTTATTGTGAAATCTTTCGTTATCCACCATTTCATTAAGGCTACCATTTCATTTACATCCAGAGTTCGTTTTTTCAATTCTTCAAATACGTCATATATTGAAATTTGTTCAATGAGCCTCAAAATACTATTTGCCCTATAAAAAAATGATTCACAATGATCCATCATGATTTTCGGAACAACTGGAGTAGTTTTGATAAATTCAGTCATCTCTGGGTTGGGTAACCGTATCAAATTAATGGCTTTGACGCCATGAGTAGATAATACTGACAATTGTGATGAACAACATCTATAAAATTGTGATTCAATTATGTTTCCTACTTTAGCATCTGGAGTACTTTGCTCAAAGGTAAAATGATTGAGAATGCGCACTGAACGTTCCTCAAGCATTAGTTGATTGCCACCTGGTTTATATTGGCACAGTTGATTCATCTCATCTTCGTATAACACACGGCACAATGTTCCAATAGAACACAACATTTCTGTATTATAAACTGAGAGTGTTTTTTCGGCAAAATCAATCGATTCACGCTCAACCTAAAATAAATAGTTATAAAAACTTCATATCATATACTTAATATGTATCAAAATAACACATTTGTAATACATACAGTTGGTATGACACGAGCCGCTAAATTTATAGAATAACTAGTTGTTTGATGCGTTCTAAAGCCAATGAAAATATTTCCTTGTTCGGGATATGGCAATAAATCTTTGAAAATATCGGATGTCACGTCAGAAGATTTAGAGTACATAGGAAGAATAGCTTGTATGGTAGTTTTACTTGGAGGCTTTTTCTTTGTTAACCTTTCCATTTCAGAGGAAAATTTATGTTGAATCTGAACTTTCAAATTCCCACTAGCAATTTGAAAACACACGGTCACATTTTTTTTTTCATGATTACTAGACACTGTTGTCCTAGGAGTGTTGGTAACTTCGAATTTAACCGTTTGAATATTGACTGATTCAAGCTTAAACAATTTTTCTGGAGATTCTCTCTTTATATCAGGTTTGATTTTAATTGATCGAGGGCGACCAATAATTTTCTTTATACTGAATAATTCATTTTCGTTAAAATATACCGAAATTTGACGAAGATTGGTTGTGAATCCCTGAAAATAAATGATGATATATTATGAGAAATTATTCTCGCATGATCATGTCATGAAAGTGAAAATCATACCAATGAAGTTGTCAAAAAACGGCATAATTCGTCCAAGTTAGGGAGCTATAAATAAAGAAATCGAATTAAACATAAATTTTAATTTTTATCAAATAAAAGAAATATTGATACCTTTAAAGGATTTCTCATTTCCATCAAGAATGTAGTCCATGTAGAATCACTGTTATCGATGGGGCCGTGTCTCACATACAACTGATCACCTTGCCAATAAAATGCCATGCCAAGATTACCAGAAGAAACACTGTAATTGCAGTAATCGCAGTATAAAGTGTTAATTTAAAACATATAGTCAATGATAAAATTAATTTGCAAAATTTCACATTGCTGCACTGTAATATGGAAGTTCCAAGTTGCAGCAATATATTGTGTTCAAATAAGCTGCAATAAATTTTGCCATATATGTCTGATTTTACCGTCAACTATATATATATGCTATCTTTCATTTAAAACATCTAACAAAATACTAGTGTTTTAATTTAATAATGTAGTAAGGCAACTTACAATGGCTCTTCACAGACAGAAAATACTGAATAAAATCCAACACCGAAAGCACCGATCTTATAAATAGCAATTAAAATTATATAACGAATCACAATGACTCTTTAAAATGAACATAAATACCTTTTGTTCGTCTGGGTTTCCTTCGGCAATTTTCTTTAATCGGTCCCAATCTTGTTTCCGAAAGTTCATCCCATTATTTTTAAAAAGCAATCTCGAATAATTTTCTCTTTTGGTACCCTCAAATACTATTTCGACAGATGAAGATGTTGCATCGTCTAAAAAAGTAGGTGTTTATATCAGTGTTACATGAATAAATAATGCATTTCACATTAAAATCCGAACCTGAATTTTGCAACAATTCTCGAAATACAGCAAATTTGGTCGAATATCTATGAGATTTTTTTAAAAAAATTAGCACAAAATAAAAGTTCTATACTAATAGAAATTTTAAAATTTACCTTGACAACATTTTATCGATCAAACATCTTTGGTTGACTTTAACTCGGCATTCATATTTTGAATTTGACATCAATTGACTTTTGAAAGTGTCAAGGCTCATATTTGAGTTTTTCGATTTATAGGATGGAATGAATTTTTGCATGGTAAAGTTATATTATCTATTCGAATAATATTTTGCAAGTATGAGTTTTCTTTTGATACTGTAACTTCATTTAGAGCGTTCTTAAAGATGTTTATTTATTTGAATAGGTGATACAAAACAAAAAAAGGAATAATAACAAAGGCATACATACGTACGTGAACTTAAGGATTTAGGGTTAGTGTTCAGTGTATATTGCTACATTTAAAAATTATCTGCTTCAAAGTTATTTTCTTAACGCTTATAGTAGCTCTTTAGAGCCGATTTAAATCTTATTTTTCTTTATTTTTTTCCCTTTTCTTTCAATTTTTTGCTTTCGCAATTCCGGATAGTTCGAATCTATTCCATATATAGCCTATGTTATAGCAAATATGTTACACAGTTATGCAAGTTCCTTTCACTCTCATTTAATCACTTTCCAAAAAATACTTCATTCACCTGTGGGCATTGATTTTTCCCTTATTAAGATGCATTTGTTAATTGTGTAACACGTATATTTATATTTAGATACACATCATAGGTCAATACAGTAATCTAAAGTTAATTGACATATCCAAAAATATTATATGATTCAAATGCGTGAAAAATATGCGGTTATTTTACAAATATGTGAATATAATGATCGGGTTTATTATCGAAAACAAGCTAATGCGTTGTGAATCTTGTGAATTAGATAACTAAATTAAGAGAAAAAATAGGCCTATTTTAATATAATATTAAAGAGTGTGCTTTTAAAACATATAAATATTATTATGAGTAACATTCCAGGTGAATATGATTGTAGAAATGGTCCGGAATCGCATACAGTGGTCGAGTGTCACGGGCTATGGGCCGGGTTTGCACATGCATGGTTCAAGTTGGCATGTAATTGGACAGACTGTGTTGATCCATAAACACTTGCCAATTTAATGTGAAACCACATAAATCATACGTGCTTTTTGTGGTTCGTAAGTGATTTATATATGGTTACGTTATTTTTGTATTGGACTTATCGAGGTTTGTATAGTGTTTTACTGTAAAAAGTTCGGTTACTGAACTCACTAAGCGAAAGTGATTTAGGTAGGTTTATGTTAGTTTTGTAATGAACTTATCGTGATTTTTATAGTGATTTGCTCGGTTACTGTGCTTACTAACTATTGTGGTTGTATAAGTAATTAGATGGTTTATCGTGATTTGTATAGTATTTGCTGTAAAAATTTCGTTATCTACTTACCAACTATTTTATTTGCGTAAGTGATTTGATAAGAGTTTATTAAAAATTTATAAAAAAATTCATTTATTTAAGCTAATATTTTGATTATTATGTTTTTTTCTTTATTTATATAATAGTATAAGATGAAATCACATTATAATTGCCGTTACTAATTTAAAATCACCTAGCTTATTTTTCAATCGGTATATAACACGTGTCAATTGTAAATTATTTATATATGTAAACATACGTATACATATTACATAAATTTTATTACCGTATTGTCATGAAATAACGAGCATGGGCGTTATTTAGAGGTTTGACCCGAATTAAGCTTAATTTAGGCCGAAATTTGTAATTAATCCCTGCGCGTTATTTAGCGACAATACAGTAAATAAATTTTGGGATGTTCTATAGAATAGGTGGGCAATATAAGAAATAATGATTAGTAATCATTAATAGATACATAGGGGAGTTTGCGGAGTTTTCCACCTATTATATAGAACATCCGACATGGATTTTGATTAATTCATGTAATTCATATTGGTGCTTCGGATAATTTTGAAGTTAAGCAATGACATAAATTTAGAAGGAATGCATTGTTATACTCGTTGATTTGAACATAAGCTTTTCGTTATTCTTTAAAGTATATTGTATATAAATTCGCGATATGTAGGTTCTGTTATAGCCCGCATTGTTTTGAGGCGGCAATGCAATAAATACTGAAAAGGGCGTCATTAAGGTATATTTATAATAGTTTATCAATTATGAATCAGTAATTTTTTTTGGCTTATAAGGTTGATTTATATTATATGAAATTTGGTATATAAACTTATTTGAACAATAAACATAAGATTTTTAATGCTAAATAATATAGACTTTTTTTTTTTTTTTTACCAAAAATTACTTAAATTCAATTTATATTTTAACATTAATTCAGTATTAGACACGAATAATTTTTAAAATATTCACTTATGTAATAAAAATGTTAAAATAATGTTAAGCACTGCCAGGTGTTGGAATATAATTTTCAGACACATTTTTAAACTTTTTTTTGTACAACAAAAACCCAGCAAAAGATAAAATTACAATTATCCCTATCCCAACACCAACACCAATTCCAAAAAATAAATGACTTGGGATAGAATTATCTTGAGAATTGCTAGATGTTGGGAAAGTTGTTGAATTAACTTTTGGCAAAGCAAAGTTATTGGTGTCATTGGAAAATAATGACCATTTATATCTTAATGGATCTGATATATCCAATTTGTAAATACAATTATTGCTTTGATTATTTGTCGCATTTGTGCCTTCAAAATCAGAAACAATGAAATATTAGTAATTTAAATAGAAATGATAACATCATAGTGTAGTTCAAAATTTCCGAAATTTCCCTGCAAAATTTTGCGTGAAAGTCACAAAAAAAAACTGCGTCTAAACATATCTTGACGCATTAACAAAAGATATCGAGAATGCAATTTTACAGGTAAAGCTAATACTAATTCTAAATAGACTTTAACCAATACTAATCTGACAGAAACTTTAAACCACACACTACTATTTTTATAAAATACAAATGTAAGAAATCATATAATTACCAAATGCTACAATCATATAATTCTTAACCATAATTGATGCATGACTTGTTAATGGTCCAACATGATTTATTTCTGATGGTACTGACCATTCATAACTAGACGTGTTTAGAACTGCTAAAGATGGAGTAGCCGCTATGAATTTGCTTGTTCCACCATATATAATAATTCGTCCATCTGAAGCTAAAAATTAACAATGTAAATAATAATATAGGTGTGCTTTTTTGAATTTTTTAATACTTACTTAAAACAGCACTATAATCAGTACGATGATTGGGTATTGCACCACTAGTATTCTACATAATTAAATATAAAAATTAATTTTTGAACTGTTATTTAACATATTAATAATTATAATATTTACAGTAATTTGCCATGAATTTGTTATAGTATCGTATACCAATATACTGGCCATTAATGTTGTGGTATTATCATTAATTAAAGATTCAGGAAAATATAATATTTTATTATTCGGCATTAAAACTTGAGGAGAACCAAATGTAGCTGATCTGTCATAAAGGCTATGTTCTAGTGGAATTTTTGTACTATTTGACCATATGAAATTAATTATATCAAAAATATCTACAACACTAAATTGTAATGAATATGCCTTTCCAGTATAGTTATTAGAAATCCAAGGATATAAATTAAAATAATATTTGTTAGATTGTCCTGTAAAACTAAGATTCGTTGTCCATATACCTAACCTAGTGTCAAATGTAATAATATTCAATGAATCCAATGAAGAATTGACAAAAAAAAATATATCATTTTTTTCGCCGCCTAAAAATGGCCAGTAAACGGAAATCCCAAAATTTGATGGCATATTAATTTTGATCTGTTCAGATGAACTAATAAAAGTATTTTCATTTAATGATATGTTTGTTAAATCAAAATAAAAGAACCCACTATCAAAAAATCCATTAAAATATAATTTATTATTAGTATAATATGATTAGAAACTTGGCAGTTTATAAAATGAATATAATTCAAAATTAATAAAATCATAATATGAAACAAGAATAAATAAATCATTTGTTTAAATAAATATGTAGCGGTAGGGATCATTATCAAAGCGGCAGAAAATGAGTTAAATAGAAAATGAAGATTATGACCTCTAATCTATATCCCCTATATCGTATAACTTGGACATAATTATATTTTTAACTCTGCCCAATACCACATAAATGAGGTATACAATATTGGCAGATGATCAATCGGAATTCCCGTATAAACGCGAAATAACGCCCAGGCGCGTTATTTTGAATTTTGACCTGGATTAAGCTTGATCTAGGCCAAAATTCAAAATAACGCACCTGGGCAGTTATACGATATTTACTCATGTGCTACGTAACGGTAATATAAATAATTTTAATTCCGAAGTTTTTTCCGTAGTATTTTTGAACCAATGTTTACCTAACTCAACCATAAAAATATCAGACAATAAAGATTGCCGGGTTTGACCTTGGATCTGTTATTCGCTTTCATATTAAATTTAACAGATATCCACGGATTTATTATTAAATTTCATATCCAATAGATAACCAAGAGTTGTCCAAAAATCAGGTACTCAATTAAGCTAAATAATTTTTATGGTTCTGATGGCTCAACATGTACGATTTATTTATAATATACAATAGTGTTACAAACACTATGCAAACACTATGAGATAAACACTATGAGACAAAAATACAATATTGCTATCACACATGATTCATATTATTGTTACACAAATTTGACTATACGGACCATCAAATCATTGACAGCCATATCAGCCAATTAAAACTCGACCTGCATTCATGCTATTACTATCACTTTTTTATTTATTTTATTCTACGTATACCTCGAACCAGAAAATGAAAGCATTAGCAGCTGCGCCTTGCAAGAACACTACGATGACAGTAAAGAAAAGCACTTTACCAGAACGCCACCCTGACTTTGAATATTAATCAGCTGAATCAGGAGAAGTATTAGCAGATATACTCTGTATAAATGCTACGTTGATTATTTTGAATTCCAGTAGTAAAGAAAAGCACATTACCAGAACGTTACTCTGACTTCTTTGAATCTTAATTATGATTAGCTTGGATCAGAGGTAAGAAAAGCATTCGCAGATGTACCTTGTGTGAATGCCACGTTGACTTTATTAAATTTCGGTAATAAGAAAAGTACTTAACCAGAATGCTATTCTGATTCTTTGAATCTTAATTAGGATAGCATTAACAGATGTACTTTGTGTGAACACCACACTAACTTCTTTAGATATTAATGGAAAGAATCTTGGACCGATTGGAGGAAAAGCACTAGCTGGTATGCTCACTTTAGATAGTAGTTAAAATAAACTTGAATCATATGGAGAAAAAGCATTAGCTAATTGCTTTATAGTTTTACTTCTTAGATATTGGATGGAAAGATAAGATGATGAATTTCGTAAGAAAACCATGTTTATTCCTTTAGATATTAGTTGGAATAAACTTAGATCGGATGGGAGAAGAGTTGTGCTTTATAAAACACAACAATGATTTCAAATGGAGGAACAGCGCTAGCTGATGTGCCTTGTAAGAATACAAGTTGACTTCTTTGAAATCATTAGTTGATGCATTTTATACCAGTAAGAATAAACTTAAATCAGATGAGAAAAGGAATTAACTGGTATACTTATTTCTTTAGATATTAGTTGGATTACAGAGAAAAGCATTGCATATCACACGCTTACTTCTTTAGATATTCGTAGAATAAACTTGGGTCATATGAAGGAAAAGTGTTAATTGATGCACTTCATAACAATATTATACTTACATCTTAGATATTAGATAGGATAAACCTGAATCAGATAAAGGAAGAACGTTAGCTTATGTGCTTTGTACGAACATTGCTGATTTTGTTAGATATTAGTAAACTGGATGCATGCGATAGTCTGATAATTATAGTGATGTTACAAAACATCCCAAAATATAATGATTATGTAGCATTTTCACATATTTACACTTACTGTCAAAACATTATAGTGTATTGAATGTTTTAAAAGATAAATAAAATTTATTATTTACATTTATTTAATAATAAATAATACCGGCCATGATTATAGACAATACAAATAAATAGAGGCAGTCAAATAGTAATAATAAATAGTGATGCGAATACATGCTTAGTAATATACTATTATTATTAGCTAGTATTGATTAATAAAAATAATTACAAATTTGAATTAAAATATGTAGCGTGAAACCCCAAGCATCGCGAAACTCAAATTATACAAATTATAAAACTCAAGCCAAGTATATATGTCGTAAGTGGGAACAGAATTTGGAATTTTAAGGTTAGTGTTAGATTTTTAGTATAATTATTCCTTTCTAATTAAGTAAATCCCGAACCTATTATTATCTTATTCCCACTTACAACATAGTACCCGTGGATACTATGTGAAGAACGGGTACTATATTTGGGATATATCATATTAAAAAGTAATAAATCAATATAGGTATACCATGGATCTTATTCAGGAAATAGGTATTAACCATGGGGTATACAGTGGACAATGGTATATTAAAATTAGTATTTACTATATATCTGATATATTTTATAATAATTTCTTTGCTTTTAAATCAACCAAATTTTTTTATATTTTGAATCCGGAGCAACGCGACGGGTTAGATGCTAGTAGTCAATAACAGGAATGGTAAATGACCTTGAGTTATCAAATAGTAACCAGTCATTTGAGGTCATTTAGATCATTTATTACTTACAATAATCTTTATTGGTCAAGTAGTTTTATAAAAATTGCAATTGTTAAAAGCGTCGCTATATTAAAAAGTCCAAATTATAATAAATAAATCGATATTTGTGCATCAAGTAAAGTTGGTCGCAGTAATAATTTATGCATACTATAAAAGTGTAATGTAATTATCAAACCAAAATTTTTAATAAAATAAACCTTTGCTATTAAGGTTAGTTTGGGTGAGGCTAGGAATGGGAAAGAGCATAGTTTATATAAAAATTTAGCAAGAAATTTTTTTTATTAGAATATAAAGATGGTTACATAATCAAAAATTTCGAGTTATAATGTTTTTTTTTAAAAAAAAAACAGTTTTTGCTTTGATTTCACATTACACCTGATCTTAAATTTTGATTGGCTTTATTAGATGCGGTTACAATAACCGCGGTTACAAATTTATTAACTCTTATTATTATAAAATTAAGTTTTTTTCTGATAATTTGATTGGCCAAATGGTATATATTATTACTGGGCTAAATAACATTAGGTCATTGTTGTGAAATGAGGTCATTTGGGTCGTTTCAAGTCATTTGATCAATAATCTTTTTAAATCATGCGATAAAAATATACATTTTTTTTTTTATCTACTATGGACAATTCATATTGCAAATTGTTCAGAAAATGCAAAACATCAGAAACTTTTTGTGAAAAAAAGCTTGTTACATAATATAACACCTTCGGAATATAAGAACGTACATACGTCATTCAAAATTTTGAATGATCGTCAAATGATCACAGCGATGGGGCTCTGTTATAGGGATGTTAAAAAGTCCGTCTGGTCCAGTCCCAGTCCAGTCCTTAAAAAGTCTGGTCCTGAACTAGTTAGAAACT